CCACGCGAAGACAATCGTTTAGTAAGGAGTAAATGTTTTGAATGCCACCCTGTCAGTTTTAGGGAAGTCGTTTCTCCAATGGCCCTGAGAGGGATTTATTCCATCTATTTTTGAATGTAAGCAAAATTGAGAATAGATATTCGATATGCTTCAGGTCATTGACCAGCATTGGACCATGTACATACGTAGTTCTATAATGGGCTTATAGACGCCAATCACCTCAGAAAGAACATAACTTCACACACGTGAAACAATCTTTAATAAAAAGCAACGAACCATAGGACATGTAACCTTGAAATCCTAAGGCTTGCTTGTCGAAGACTCTTCTGATCCGTGTAGATTTGACGTCCCCCTTCTCCCTCCTCACCATCAAGATCACTAGCACCTCACAAATTGGATCGCGGCCGAAATTGTTCTAGGGCCGATGTACGGCTATGCTTGGGAGCGGGAGTTTGCTCTTACGATTCTTCCCTTTCGTTCGGGGCAATTTTTGGGCGAGCAATTATACGCTTGAAGATTGCTAGAGGCATGTCATAGGAAAGATTTTGAAAGGATATCATCCACGTAAGTCCGCGCAAACTTCATCGCTACTTAATTTAGTTTGTAAACATTTGACGAGATTATTTTATAAGGTAAATATTTTAATACACACGCTGCTTTCATACACGATTGCAAAGGGGAACAAAAATAAATGAAATTTAAATATACTGTAGTCTTTCATTATATTAATTTACTGTAGTCTTGCAGGATTTCGAAAAATTTTTGGTACTTTTCAATGAATATTGATGTGTTCCTTTCGAAAATTGTAGTTCGATGGTAATTCGCGTCTTACAAAAACATGTTTATTCAATCAAAACCGGTAGAAAATAAAATACAGTTATATTATGAGCAATATATATTTTCCTTATATGTATACATATAAATAAAATCTGTGACCATGGGGTAACTGACGGAGAAGCGTAGACCAGGTAACATTGGATATCCTATGCATTGATTTATTAATTTAATGATGATGCAAGAGATGTTCCAAGTGCTCTTCGGTGAAGCTTCGTATTCGCGCTGCCGCGGAAATTTTAGAAGAAATAACTAGAAAATAAATAAATAACGATAAAAATAGTATTAGTTTGAGCCTAAAACGGATGAAAAACTCGAATTTTTTATATGTAGCTTTGGGAAAGCAATACACGATTGACGAGAAACAGATTACGAGAATTAAGACGAGAATTAAGTTTTTATTTTTAATTTATATATCTGAAGAAAAATATTGTAGCCTGACTTTTTGCGACCCATGAATTCAAAATCCTGATTGTATCATGTATCCCGATTTTTTTCGTATATACGAACAGAAATAAATAAAGTATTATAGTGTGATGGTATGAATCCTAATTCACGTGGCATTCTTCAATGCAGATGCCTTTGAAGCGTCGTTAATTAGGCTGGCCAATTATTCACCGCAAGACCAAGGCTGATGGTGGTCAGCAAATCAGTTCAGTATCAGCACTCCAGCACGTCTCGCCGGCCGTCCTCTCACCACCACATGCCTGAGATAAAAACAGTTTAAATAAAACTGCATTATATCAAAGATCGGCCATGAGAGGCTTTTAATTTGTTATACTCAAGAAAAAATTGTCATTTTGATCACTCTGTTGCTAATACGTATCTTTCATGATTGTTGAAGATACAAGATTGCACGATTGATTAGGATTTACGACACAGTAGACACGATATTCGATGGACCTTTGAGTCGTGTGCCGCTGAATGAGTTCTGAGCAGTCAAGAACTGTCGGTCGATGCCGCTTTACACGTCATCACCGCGTATCGTCGCAGTCTGAATGAATAATTTCAGGCCATGGTGGACGATCAGCTAGTTGAATACGCAAGTAAACGATAAATTCTGAGTCCTTTTTAGCGCATTTTCTCATTTATGAAAAAAATGCACTATTTTGCTCGCCATGTCCGTCTGTCTGTCTGTCTGTCTGTCCGTCCGTGACCTCAAGTTTTCGTCGACGAGAAAATGCGCTCTGTAACTCACTGCAGTGAGTACTGAGTTATATTTTCTTAATATACACGAGACTAGTTGTGCATGAGATATTCACGAGACTAGTTGTACAAGCTATTTTCACATGCAATGCAGTTAGAAGTGAATCCACTGTAACGCAGGGACCCTTGTTTCACCGAGATGATAAAAGCAAGTCGGGGGTTTGAACTATGGGTTTTCCGTGAGTTTACCGTTATTACCAAGTCGTGAGTAGACTGTGATCTTTTCATTCGTGTCGAAAAAGTTCAGTTCGTCCGAAATTTCCCAAAAACTGATTGGAAGTTTTTTGGAAGTTATCTCGGCCTCAGTCAATCTTAATGATCTACGATTTTTGGTGCGTATTGTACGTCTGGTAATAGAAATCGAAGAAATTGACTGTTACTGGCCACATCATGGATTGGTCGTCAAATAATGATCAAACAAATCTCTTGCGCTATAACATGAGAGAAGTTTAAAGGAATATCACTATTTTCCTAAATTTTGGAATATACATTTTAGATGTTGCTTGATTTTGACGAAACTGCGGTGCTGTCGGGCAATTTTTGCTTGAATCAAACATTATTCAAGTTTTAATGTTTGTGAAGCTCTAGGTTCAGCGCGATCGGGAATCCAGGTGTAGCTCAGGGTCGGAATCTCTGAATCTCTGCAATATCAGATTTAATGGAGCCACCTTAAAAAATTGGGCCGATTTATTAGAAAAAAAATCATTTCAGCGTGTTGGGAACAATCAATTTATATTTTTAGAGTTATTATCTAACACTTGAAAAAGCGATGCTTCTTATTTTTCGCGCAATCGAATCATTTCATACGATTAGTTCATAAATTTCAAGAACCTCTTTGCTAATAAGCAAGTTAAGCCAAATACTGAAGAATAAGTTTATTCTCAAGTTTTTTTTTTCAGTTTTGCGTTTGAGTTGGAAGTTCAGAGATAGAGTTTCTACGGGAAATTTTAGCTTATTTTTACGACGTTTGGAATAAACATTCACCATTAGGAAGTAAAATTAAGATTTTGTGATGCTCAATGTTAAAATTTAGTAGTGAGCATGTTTCTGTGTCGCACAGTTATGGACTCAGCTCTCGCTGCCGGTTAGGAGTAAAAAAATTGTTATAGTTATTGATAACAAAAGTTGTTAAAACAACTTTGTCTTTGATCTTTAACGAGTCGCTTTAAAGAACAGCTTCTGCCTAACTATACTATTTAGACATTTTCTCGTGAAGAAATTAATGACATTTTTGCATGAAAAACTTCAAGAATTTTATCATGAACAACTTCTTGAGTGAAGCCATTAGCAATTGCAGTCGTAACATTGTTCAGGAAAATGGCAATTAAATTAACTTCTATCAGTTCTCAGCATCAGTATCTGAGGAAAGTCTTCTTCAAATAAATTCGAGAAGTGAAGTAGGCGTCAGAATTAACGTAACATTGAGGCGAACGTCAGACGACTTGTGTGCTTAAGTACAAAATTGTATCATATAGTTTCGAATTCAGTGGCTTGTAACGCAGCGGTGAACATCTGATTTCCACTTCAGATTCCCTTGGACTACGACTAAGGAATGAGATCAATCAAATTGAGACAATTTCTCGTTGAATTAATGCCGGTCCAAAAAGAAGCCGGTAATCCCACTGATCCGTATTGCATCTTCAGAAGCATGATGGAGCTTCTCGTTCGGTACTGAAGGTTCTCGATATTTTCCCGTATAGAAGCTGGTAGCCTGAGTACTCATAAATATGTAAGTCATCGTACCTTCTTATTCAAATTTTAACCAAACGGTCAATCTAGTATGGAAGATCAAAACCTGCCGCATAAAGTCGTAAGCAATCACGAGTAGAAGCTCGTACGATGAAAATTTTTTTTTTCAATTTCTCCGCCACATTTCACCGAAAACGACCATAAGTTGTTATGTAAATACGTAGCTTCCTTCCAGAGTAACCGCGATGTATTAATTAGCCGGATATAAACTTTAGTATGTATCGAGATTAATTATTCGAGCTTAGAGCTGCAAGTCGTCGTATTGACGATTGTTTTCAATTTATTAATATATTTATTGTTTTCAGTTTATTACAGCACTTCTCTTTAACTTCACCTCTTGTTTGTTTGTCTGCTACAAATCTTATAATCGATATTCAACACACTTCTACCCCTCCAATCGATCTGAAATTTTGCACACTTGCGTAAAGTTGGTGACAATGCATGAATCAATTGACAGAATGAATAATTAAAAAATAAATAAAAAATTTTCATATTAAAAACACATATACAAAAATATTTTAAATATTTAAAAATAAAATAAGAAATCCATTGTATATGTGTAAAATCAGAGACACTAGCCTCTATAGAAGTGTTGTTTTTAAAAAGTAATTTTTAAACGCATATTATTATTTATATATCTTTGAACGCGAATTTCTCCTCGAATGGCTTTTGTCATCCACGCACCGTAGGGCCTGCTGGCAGAAACCCTGAAATATAAATGTAGCTTATGCGATATACGATAGATAAACTTGCCATTGAGTTCTCATGCTCGATTGTTTCTACTATATGGTCAGTTTTTATTTCAAGTCAAAATTAACCTAAACTGAAATGAATGCATTCTTATAGTAAATAAACTACATTTTGATTATCAAGACAAATTTCATGAACAAATATAATATATTTTATAAACATGCCATTAAGTCTGCTAGTTCTGAATAATAATTTTCTAGACTTTACGAACAAATCTGAAGTGATTCAAATTTTTAATATGGCTTCTCACAATTCGAAATGGTTGGGTGATAACGCAACAAAAAGTATCAATTATACCAAAAATAAAGTGCGGAATGTGGGATTAATGAACGTCATATAAGCGAGTAAATAATAAACAAGTTTTTAGGTATCCAAGCTACTATTAAAATAGCCTTCACATCAGTTCGGCAGTTTCTAGCATTATCTGAACACGATATTTTCGAGCAACTCCTACCGGTGTAATGACGATGGAAAGTGACGAGAATCACTTAGAGACATGGCGTCTGCGACGACGGTTAAACTTGATTGAGAGTCTCAAGCCGGCGCCCAACACAAGTGTTTTCACGATACTCATCAGGCCGGACGACCATATCACCAAGATCAGATCAATGCTTGCTGATGAACAGGCTAGGTCTTCGAATATTAAGTCGGACACTAACAGAATCTCCGTGCAAGATGGCCTGAAAATTATAATCGAGCACCTCAGAGTTCAACGCCACTTACCGAAGAATGGGCTTGCTTGCTATTGTGGTACCTCTGTTTTTGACCCTAACTGCGATAAATCCATCAAATTGAAGATGTTCTTTGAACCTCCAAAACCGATCACGAGGTTCATTTACGACTGTGGGTTTACGTTTCACACGTCAACGTTGCGCACTCTCCTAAATGATGAACAGGCAGTCGGCTACATTGTTATTGACGGCAAAGGCACTTTGTTCGCCTCGGTGCGTGGTAGCGTGAAGGATGTGCTTTTCAAGATGTCGGTGGACCTTCCCAGGAAGCATGCCAGAGGAGGGCAGTCGGCCGCCAGGTTTGCTCGGATTAGAGAGGATGCCCGTTTGATTTACATCAGTCAAGTATGCGAGAAAGCTGTTCAAGTGTTCATCAAAAACAACATACCGTGCATAAATCAACTGATCATCGCAGGACAGGCACATCTCAAAGATTGCATTGAAAAATGCCCTCGCTTGGACGTACGGTTGAAGCCCCTTATTTGCTCTATATTGACCGTCGACTACGGTGGTGAAGCAGGTCTCAACGACGCAATACGGCAGAGCATGAGTCAGCTTGCAAGCATCAAGTTGAGTAAAGAAATAACTCTCATTAGATCATTTTTCGACCTCCTCTCCCGTGGACAGGAAAACCTTGTGGCATATGGACCTGATGGCGTAACTGCGGCTCTAGAGGAAGGTGCAGTAGAGACGGTGATTGTCTGGCAAGACCTTGCTCTAGTGAGGTGGGTAATACAGAAGGATGACTCAACTACTATCGTGGAGTACTTGGAGACTGGAAAACATCCAAAACATGAAACATTTGTGGTAAAGGAAGACGGAATTTCTTTCGTGGAATGGCTGGCAGACCACGTGAAAAGCTGGGGATGTAAGCTGGAGCTCGTGTCTGATGCTACCCCTGAGGGGGCCATGCTGGTGGGTGGCTTCCGAGGTATAGCTGCTCTACTCAGGTATTCCAGAGAGCCAGCTCCTAACCTTCTCGACGACTCGGACCACTGTTTCGACCTGGACATGAGCCTCTGCAATTTGACTTATTGAGACTTGTGAGAGAATCCTAGCTCCCAACATGATTATAAAGAAGAATTCAAGAGTCAGCATGACTGGAGTCGCTAGTTTTGAAAATAAGGTACTACGTGTTTGTCAAAAAATTCAGAGGCATGAAGGAAATGAGGTCTCTGTTTTTTTTCATTTTTTTCGTATTCGCTAGTGAATTCGTGCTTGTACATGCTGACTTAAATCCAACTCTGTGTGAAAGTTATGGTAATTTATGAATAAATTAAAGACATCTAAACTTAAAGCTCTATTTCTATATCTGAATCCAAAAGATCATATTTTATTCGAACAAAGTATTGCTTAAATTGAATTTTATCAAACCAAGAGGCTCGTACTATGAACAATGGTGATAGCTGGCGAACATTTGGCTTTAATTGTAATTAATTTCATTTAAATTATCCGATCAACATGTCCAAGGATGTTCAACACGACTGTTTGTAATTTGTCTGTTTTATTTTCTGTAAATGTGAATGAGTTTTTTTTTACTTACAGCGAAAGGTTTTTTTTTTCATTTTCGTTTCAATATGAACATTGCTGTGAATATAAGATTTTGACTTCTCGTGAATTACGGCTAACTGACTGCGCTCAGTTCTCATTTTAAGCTATTTTTTCCTTTGTGTCATTTTTATGTTACAAATTCAAATCGGCCTGTATAAACGCATTTGTGCACATTTTATGTATTTTATGTATTTCTTTCTAAGATTACAGCGACTAAGAAGCATAATAAGTTCATAATCACCCTCGAAGAAATCTCTGTAGAACACATCGTTGACTTGTATCGGAAATGAGCTTAGGAAAAGAATAAGAAGTAAAATACATTTTTCGAATGTATTGCAATTTTTGACTAAAGTAGACTTTTATTTAGCCCCTCGAGTTCATTACCACAACAACTTTTCTTCACAGCCATCTCTCCAATTCTCATGCATTTGCCAAGCACAGGGCAGGAGTAATGCGGCAATCGTTAGGATTATGAGATATTAATTAGATAAGACTGGTGGTGTGATTATTTATCTAGACTTAAAAAACGAGTGAAGCAATGTTACGACCTCCACCGTATGTGGCAAGAGGCTTGCCCTTTATGCGATAATTTCCTAAAAATGATGTAAACTATCGAAGATAATTTGAGAGATAAAATACCAAATTTGTCCAACCAAGCTTGCAAAAAAGTAATTATTTTGTTCCTTGCCATTAAAGAGCTATAAACACAATGAATTCAACCGAATTAAAAATAACGAAACAACAAAAGGGATGTTCATGAACAGCCACCCAGGTTCGCGCGAATCTCACGGTTTTCTAGATGCATTCTGATTGCCCTTCGTCCAAAGAATCATGAACATGTAGGCACAGTTATTGAATCAGAATTAATGAAATCAAGAAAGCATAGAAAAATTTGCTAGTATTTCTGATCAATATTTTACTACATTACTGATAATCTGAAGCTCTTCGAATGCAAGATAAAGTCATTTTCTCCAGCACAAAAGTTTTGCTGATATCTTCTAAAATTCCGCATAAATTGATGAAGCGTAGCAGAACAAAGTATTATGCGTTAAATTTTGCTGTCAGTTACTACGCGTTTTATCACATTCTCCTCGAACTCTTCGCGGCCCAAGGTATCGGAAACTTTTTTTTTCTACACACATCAGTCGAACGATATTTGTATTGTTGGATACCAGTACGTTAGGACAATTAAATTTTAGTAGCTTTTTATGATGACAAATAAAAGCACTGATGAAATTTTGAACAGTAAAAGAAGCTTCAGATTGAAATTTGGAGCATCGAGGTATAATGTACGGAGGTTATGCACACTGATTAATGCTCTCATTCACAGCTACGAAACCGCAGACACGATTTACTGCTTCTACAAACATTCACCGGCAAGCATTGAAATATGCATGAATTACATTTTTTGAATTCATTACAATATAGTATATGAACAGTGTCAGAGTGTGATGAATTTACTACGGAATTCTGCATATTGAACAAGTAAAGTTCATAATATTGAAATTGCGATAGAATGAGGAGTTGAAGAATGTATTATTTGAGGCGTGTTTTTAAGCTAAATAATGTTTTGGTATGAAAATCATAGTTACATTTTTGCTGGAAATAATGTATTTAATAAAAGGCCATGCTCTACTCCACTTTTATTCGCAATTCCCATTAATATTAAGACTTTGTTCGTGTTTTAGGACCTGTTTCTGTAAGCTGTCATCAGAAAAGCTTGCTGACTGATTATATACGTAACTTTTCGGTATTTTCATCTCTGCGCTCTAGCAAAAAACCTTTAGGGTATTCCTTCACTAAGAAGGTTTGCCCCAAATCCAATCGTTCATGATATAACACTGGGATTTTTCTCTTGTTTAACGATTTATTTATCTATATGAAATAAATGCACATTGTATCCCTACAGCAATGATGGAAGAAAAATTTTCGCAATTGTATTCATTGACTGGACAATTTATGTAATATGTAATATACTAATATTATTTTTGAGATGCCTATTTATTTCAAAATTTAATCTCTAGTGATCGGTATACCAGGCATCTCTCTATAAAAATTATTTTGTATATATTCGTTACGAACAGCTTATTACAAACGAAAATTAAGAAATGGGGTTACAATTGCCTTATGTAAAGAGTTCCGCTGTGGAAACTCTGAGGAAACACTGATTATAAAATACTCAGCTGTCCCGTATAAGACCGATGTCCCGTTAAAAGACCGGTGAGAATCTTATGATTGAAATACGATATAAACTCGTAAAAGGGATGAGTCACTGTTGCAATGTATTTGCTTACTCATGGAAGGATAATAACTTAATAAAATTGATACGCAAAGATAATAATTGAAGTAGAAATATGATTTAAAGAGGAAGTCTGCACAGTCGCAGAGTTAGCATTTTTCTATCCGAATATATTGTACAAACGGTTAACGATCTTTTATCGTGATGAGGGATTATCGAAAAGCGTAATTAGTGCGATGTCATTAACAAATGATAAATTTTAACAATTCAGGCTGGTAAAATTATGATAATGGAAATACCCGCCTGACATAAGGGAGGAGAACGGATAAACAACTGCCATATTTACTCCTTTAACCAGAATTTACCATAATATTTTGTAATAGAGCTGATTTTTAACCTTAGTTTATTTGAAAGCCCCCAATACAAAAATATTTTCCCACGTTTGCGCTCACAATATTTTTAATAGAATTATTTTTAAATGGAAGGTTTGATTAATAAACGTTCGGCCCACATAGGCTCTTGAATGAATGCGTTGTTCAAGTAAAATAAAGGATTAATTTTCAGCAAATTTGAATTGATTATTCGATTTATTTACTATTCAATTAATGAAAATTACTGCGAATATCTTGATAAAGAATGTCATCAGCCATTTAGTAGAGTTCTTTCTGACTAATCTGTAAAGTTTCGTTGCCTGCATGCACTACATTTCTTTCAGCCATGACAAGCATTTGCCCGCAGTGTCGTGCGAATAATTGCAACATAAAAACATAGTGATAACATAACAAAACATAGTGATATTGGCGCTGAAGTGTAGGCCTGATGTGGCCTGTCGCCGATTCTTTTCCTTTTCGTGCCTTGTTCACAGAAGGTCTAAACTCGTGTCATTTGACCGGATCTTTTCATGACTGACGAAATTTTGAAATAGCTACTAGACTTCCACCGGGTTCGATATGGTGCTAAGCATTTCAAATCTGAACATATATTTTTCCATAGCTTTATCTAGGCTGTTCTTGAACGCGTTCATACTTGGAGCGCCAACGAACATGACAAACGAGATAATAAATAAATTAATTAAAAACATCTAGTGAGCAGCTTGCTATTGATCACCCACCGGTTTCAGAATCGGTGACGTATTGATGGCATCAAACTGAAAGGGCACAAAAACGAAGGAATATAAGATAATGATGTTACCTCGCTCATGCAGCCTCTCCACTGTTTTCTACGGATTTCTCACAAAAAACGACAGAGAACAACCTTGAAGAGAAACCACGCTATTTATTTAAAATTCTGCACATGTGCGGAAAAATCTTCTGTGGATGAAGGACGAGCATATCACAATTTATGAATATTGAAGGACGAAATCAATGGTCAATAATTTCTTTATTATGTTAAATTTAAATATACATTTTTTTTAAGAGATTGATAGCATAATTGTTAGAGATTCTTTAGGCATTAGCCAGGATATTGTTCCGGTTGGGGTCATTAATCAATTGAGGTCCAACAATATGTGTACATGAGGGATGAGGCAAGAGTTGCTTATTTGACGGACACCTCTGACGTCCCCTAAGGAATTAAATGCCATTCTTGGGGTATATTTTTGATTACTCCACTTTGGTTAGAAATTTTCCTGATGACCGATCTAGCTTTATAAATTTAGGTTTCATATAAATTTATTTTATTAATTTATTTATTCACATTTGAATTTGTAACAAACGAACATGGCTGTTGCAACATGGCTTCTGCTGCTATGGAAATATAATCGAAAAGTGTTCCGTCTCTACATTTCATTTATAACTATAAATTAAGTCACTTATATACTGATTTTTATGTTTGCTCAAAATTTGAAGTTATAACTGCAATTCCAAATTTAACGCCAATAAATTATATATATAGTATTGCACCATATGGTTTGAATAGATTTTTGAACCTCGTAATGTACTTTGAGATATTTTCTCTAATGTCCAAAAGTATTTATGAAACCGATTTTTACAAATCTCCCTTTTTATTTGTATTTTGGCAGTAAAAACCATTATAAAGGTTTGATAAGCGCCTTTAAATTGGGGTCAGAAGGGATTGAACGCTGTAGCAAAACTGAACAATGACAGTGCCCTCTAATTATTTGCATCGGTATTGCAGGCTTACGAAGTGATCGGAAAAACAGGATTTTACCCATGCTGGCTGTACATAGTTACAAAATAATCTTAACGTTGTAACAATCTTAGTAACAACGTTTAGTTGAAAATGATATTGATATTTACACAGCTACACTCAAATCGATTGTGATGTCTTCTCCATGCAGCGACTGCTTGCGATCGATTTATTAGGCGAGTTAATGAATTAAGTATGGATTAGGAAAACACTCATATCAGATATAGTTCCTAGAAACTATATAAATCATCTACTATATTTATTGACGACTGATACTATACGTACGACGAATGTATATAGCTGGGTTCCTGGGTTTGAGATTACAGTACATGTAACGAAGCATGATATAACCACTCAATGAAGGAACAAATCCTTCTCCTTGCGAATTATTTGACAATAATAAACTCGATATTTTCCGCAGAAGTCAAACTTCGCAGGACAAGACTCCCTTTGATGTCTAGAGAATAAAGGTAGAAATGCATTAGTTCGATAGTCTTCGTTGTCGGGAAAAGATTTAGTCGCTATCAACTTCCTTCCAAGCGTTCTAATACATCTCATTTGTGGCTTTGGAAGCATGTTTAGAAAAAATATTCATGAGAAGATGTGAAATTTTTTCGTTCTTGATTGCTTGATTGAACAACGAATCATCAGAAATTGTAAAATCTAATAGGCAATACGTAAGTACCATATCGCATATTACTGTAGATCATCAACTTGCGGTAGTAATTTGAACGGCTTTTAGCTATTTTCGTTGGCATACGATCTATTCACACTGATGATGAATGTTCTGATTGACATTGATAATAATTATACGTTGCTGATAAAGAAATAGAACGAGTCTATTGAAGAAGTGTAATATAACAGTCTGATGGCATTAGTTGTTCGTAATATTTTCAAATTATCGAACAGTCTAATAAAACATTTTCATCTTATCAACGTATAGAATGCTCAACTGCGCTTTTACTATTTAAATAATATTTTGTGGCAGATGTTAATGCAAACATCGCATATTGAAGAATGCGTGGAGATTCTCAGATACGTTTACAGAAGAGTGCAATACTGTCATATAATAATAAAAGAATATATAATATCCACTCAAAGAAGAATATACAATATAATACCAGAGATTTGAATATTTTGGAACTCAAAATTTTAAGGAAATGATCACTAAAGTTAACAGCATCCTATCCTGTCTTTGTCTTATGCAGGTCTGGGTTAAGGATTAAATCATATCGGGTGATTGATCACATGTGAAGCAACCGTCATTCAGATTATATGACCATTCTCTAATATTGGTCCAGAAATATTGAAATTATTGACGGTTGCAATACTCGTACGTTGCATGCTCCGCTCTGTAGCTGCCCTCAGTTACGGTGCTCGTTTTATGAGTAGCTTGTCCTGTTAATAGGAATCTAAATTAAAGTATTTTCCAGCTTGTTCTCCAGCATCCCAGGAAAAATTTATGACGCGAAATTAATGGACCTAATAAAATGATATTTTAGGGAGGATTTGCGCTCATTTACGCTAGGTTTCGCTTTGAATGAACTTATAATCAAAACTGTTCAGAGTGAAACAGAACCTCTAATATATTTTTTATTGTTTTACATGCATATCGTTGCCATGGCAGCGTCGTTGTCATGGCAGCGTCAACGTTGCTATGACAACGTTAAACACCAAAGCGCCGTGCTCGTGTTCAAGTTGCACAACTTGGGATCAATGAAATGAATTAGAGACAAACTAGTCGCAGTGTGCAGTGAATTTCTTGGTAAGTTAAATTAGCCGTCAGAATAAGATTGCTTAATGTTAGCGGTCGAATTAAACTCAGTGGCAATGGGCCTATAAGCCTGTACGGCTTCGGTTATCTTATTTATATTGCGCGAATGGTGACACGTTACATACTTCTTCATTGCTCTTCTATAGCAGTCGCAGCGAAAACTAATATCATCTATCTGCAATGATCAACGAACGTTTTATCGCGCTTAAACAGATACCCTTTCTCAGCCAGAAGTAACCTCCAGTGTTATTGTGTGTTACCTTAATAATATTGCTCGGTATGGGTAGTTTGTTTTGTGCAGGGTTTCCAGGGTCTATAGGTCGTGTCTAATAAACCACTATTTTGCTAAGTGTAGTCTCTATGATGCATTTGCGGTGCGTTGGTTTGTATAATATAAGTCATCATTGTGCCACAAACGCTGCTTCCACGTGTACAGTGGATATGTTTACTGTAATCAGGTATCAGATCCCTGAGGTGTACGGTGAGTGTAGCTTCCTGTATGCATTGCGAGGCGAAATAATCGCCCGCACATTGTACCATGCTTTAGGCATAGATTTTAAAGATATATTTTACAAATTCAATATCGAGATGACCAGTCAAAAATTGGGTATTTGTTTGAGCAATGCAAACCGTATGTATCATGCAAATCATCGGGTACAAAGAAGAGTGCTTATAATTGAAGATAACTGAACAGGAAAAAAAGACGAAGTATTTGATCAAAACTTTTTTCGGACGCTCAAACTAGTGCATTTCTATAACTAGTGTGAAGCGATTTCATAGATAATGCCCAAGTGGAGAATTTCTACTCCATTCATGCAGCAGGCTAGCAGAATCAAATTGCATTTAAGAATGTATCGGCAATCGCATTTCATGCTCGTGCAACGGCAAAATGCTTTTAGCCAAAGTCATGGTAGCCCTATACGCTACCAGGCTGGACATGGCTTCAGCCCTCATCATCAAGGACGACTCTCGATCTAGCCATCAATTGACAAAATAATGAATGTATATATATAGAGACTTTTAAATTAATTGAAGAGTAATTATAAGTTTTAGTGAGTACGTTTTTTCTTCTCTGGACTTGTGTCATTCCAAAAATTAAACATTTTAAGCGTTTGGGTAATGATTTATAAGTAACATTATAATAAAATGTCCTAAAGAAACCTCCTATTCCAGCTCCACCGAATATGGAGAAAACTATAAGTGAACTGTCTCTGGGAATAACATTCTTGTCTCTAACAAAACCTTCATTGAATAACAATCTGAGAATACATTTACTCTTATAATAGGGGAGGGCTGTTGGAAGAACGTAATTTCCAAAAACTTTTTTGCAAGCAATGAAATAACCCAAGCTGTATGCGTTGGTGAGAAAGAAACTTTTTCAATTTTTTAAAACCGTTACAGGTATTAGACATATTAATAATAATTTTCGGATAAATTTAGATTAGGTAACTTGCCCACAGATAATGAGGCTGATGAGGTGGATCGATATCATTGAGTTAGTTAATAATATGAGTGCCCGAGCGAAAAATCTTGAAGTTAGTCATGCACGAGCCGACTGAGGCTAGCTAAGGACATGTAGATATAAAATTTAATTAATAATTTACTAATTAAATGTAACTATAATATAGTGTAATAAGCGCTGCACTAGGAGAATATTTGCATGGATCAGGATCATAAAATAAATTATTTATTGGTAAATCCAGCAAAAATATATATTGGTAAAATCCCTCAAAAGTTGAGGATGCACGAAGAGAATGCGATCCATTACGTTCATTAAGATTGTAAATTTAATTTTTTGCCGGCCACTTCTTACTGTATTGAGGTTGATGATGCACGGAGAGACCGAGGGAAGCTACGTCCCACTCGACTGGGATGAGGAGGTGGCGGCCAATGAAGGGGAGCACGAGCTTGGGGACGAAGAAGATCTTCATCACGTCGACCTGCAAGCCGCCGAGCAGCAGCCACAATACTGGCTGGTGCATAAGCTGGTCAAGGTGCAGTCACAGTCTAAGATTAGTGTTATTAATAACGGTGTTCAATGTGCATAGCACACAAGCTGGTCATGAGTTATGGGAGACTCAAGGAAACAGAACCACCCTGATTAGCTGACATGAATCGATCGAATGAACATTGAGTTGATGAAGAAAAACACGTCGCGCGGTTCTAACTTAGAATCTTTATCTCACCGTTCGTGCCTGAAGGGACATATTGAGCATCGCGTTTACCGGTTGAAGTGTAAACAAATCGCCATACAAGTAATGATGCTAACATTCATTATAGCTTATTGACAGCAGCTTAAAAAATCCCCTATATAACAAAAAAAAACGTTTAAAAGCTCTGTGTTTGGGAAATACGCCATTTATTGAACCATACAACTCAACTGCAAGATGCGCGAAGATGATGAAAAACCACAAGATGCGAGTTTAGCTATCGAGGACAGACGTTCTGTTTGGCCTCAAAGAGACTAGACGTAAAATGACGACTGCAAATAGCGATATACAGACAGTGGCTGCTGCCGTTGACGAAATTTTAACTGGGCAGTACCTGAAGGTGGGAGATGAGACCTGCTCGCTGCTGGCGCTTGTTGGGCTCAAGGAGTTGCCGCTGACGCAGGACGTCATACAGGCCGCACTGCAACGGTCGGGTGGAGTGAGCGTCCTCCTCAACATTCTGCGTACCTGTAGTCTCAAGTGTGTGGTGAGTGTCATGTGTATATTCTGAGCCTGCAGTTTCAATAACAAAATGTAATTATCCACGTTTGTAAGAGACTATTTCTTGCTCAACTATTTTATTGGTAACAATAACATGAAAAATATCAGAACATAAGTACATATATGGATGACTTAATTTGTTGAGTTACTTCTAAGTTTGCGCAGGATCGTATAGCACTACCATAATCGGGAGTTTATTGTTAGACAGCTGTTGGTCACCGTGATGCTGTGCACAAGGCTTGATAAATTTTAATTCAGTTCACTCCAGTACAGCTTCAGGAATGGCTCTCCAACATAAAAATAAGTACTAGCATTTACTACGGCTGCATCCAATCGTCTGTATGCCGCAGGAGTGCAGCGGTAGTGCCGGGAAGACCACTTGGGTGCCGTTTCTAGAAACAATTATTAATGACAAATAAAATGCACTTCTACTCAAGGTAATATCAATGGTGATTGAAAATTAAAATGACATAACAAACATCCTAAAACCTATTACACTACAACATATAAATTACTTCCATATACAGATACAAATTGAACCTTTATCCTCTATATTGTTGAAATGAAACCTTAAGGGTTTCTGACCGAAGAACTAACGTCGGATGACGAGATTCGTTCTAAAGACACGTCAACGTTGTTGTAATGACGGTAGTTTAAAGTTTGAATTAATTTATATCGTAACAATATGGATTTCATCTGATTGCGTACTTCGAACAAAAAGTAAATTTAATCAACAATACTCAAAATCGTGTTGTGTCAATGTAGAATTACGGTCGTATCTCTTCTCCTGGATTGAAAATCGGACAATTCCCAACATCGATTTGATGTTGATAGCTAATCAACACTGCAACCGTCATTTCAATAATGCTTGTTGTTGATTGCGTTGTGGATTAAGGATTTTGAAAGCTGTTTAGTAGTTATTAAAATTAGATCGTTTCAAAGCAAGTTTTGCTCACACCAAATAAGTGTCTTGAAAGTCAGATTCATTTGTCATTCCATGTAATGATAATTGCGAGAATATGTATCATATGTCAACCGATTTGCAGCGCATTTTCTCATTTATGAAAAAAATGCACTATTGTGCTCGCCATGTCCGTCTGTCCGTCCGTCTGTCTGTCCGTCCGTGACGTCACGTTTTCGTTGATGAGAAAATGCGCTCTCTGTCACTCACTGCAGTGAGTACTGAATTATATTTTTTAGATTTCTGCACGTAGTTTCAAACGAACGATACCAAACTTCACGGCTCAATTAAGTAAGATACCCCCTAAGTCTCCGATTTGATCGCGTAATCACTCATATTGGTGAAATAAATAGATAGGTTATTTTGACTATGGTCAGAAATTAACATAGCAAAAAATAGATTGAAAAAATCGGAAAAATAGTGAACAGTGGAAATTGGCCTAATCCACATGCAACTAATATACTGTACGCGTGGCGAGTGATCTGTAACACGCATAACATGTGGATAGTATAATAAGGTTAGGATAATGCAGTGGATTATGTGATGTAGGGCAATGGTTCATCATCTTTTTCGTGCATCACCTTCTATAGACTAGTGAGAATTTTCACGCTCCACCTGTCCATGTGACTCAAACAATAATGCTGATATATTATGATATTAGTCTCCAACTTCATAGATTTTTCACAGCGCACCAAGTTATCTTAAAAAATAGGAATAAATAGCACCAAATAAATATATAAGCAGGATAAAATGTTTTTTACCCATTCCCCTCAAACGCTTGCACGTACAACGGAAAGTAAACTCAATTAGTAAATAACTGTTTTCTTTAGGATCCCTGAGAAGGAAACCAACACAGGAATTTCAACAAAAGTAATGACAACAATTAAAGACAGTCTAGCACTGCGCTCCTTCTCAGAATCGGGTTGATGCAAGGTAGCGAACACTCATATCATTGAACTTGGATCTGCATATTGATCTGGAAGAGACGCTACAGGTGAGAAGCCTAGTTCACAGTAACACAAAGTGGCAAGGGAAAGCAGGATGTACTCTTGGATGTACTAGTGGATGTACTTATGGATGTACTCTTTGCCTATAATGAGTGAATAATCTTAGTTCAAGCCAATACAAAATCTACCCGATGAATGAGCATTGAACTGGCTTAATAATCGGCTTGGCTTGACCCAGCAGGTACGTCTGTTGGCATAAAATGTGATTACAAAAGCTCATTGTGTAATCACATTGTGTGAAGGATTATGCACAAGTAATTATTGTTCAGCTGGAACAGAGAATTGGATCCAATCATTGCTTTGCACTGCACCCGGTGGAACCTTGCATCCTGTTGGAACCTTGCATATCAGGGACCCCGTACGACATCTGCTGATCCAGGACACCTACAACCCGTCTTCTTTCTAGTTTTCCTTCATTTCGTTTTCTATTCAAGTAAATGTTTAGAAGTTTACTAGTGATTCGATTTGCATCTCGTGACGAGGCCAGGTTACGTAGGTGCGTTTGCGGTGGATGCATTGCTGAACTAACTCTGAACCGAAATTGGGATCTTCGATCCAAGCTTCACTTGGATTACCGGCAGAGTTGTATTCCTGATTCCTGAACAACTTCGTTCCAAAAATGCGCATGTCGAATTATACAAATCGGACGTATGGCTGATAACATGTGCCATTCTGCTAAGATAAATAATAATTTTGAGTTTATAATGTTTTGTTTCAGGTGGGATCACTGCAAGTTATAGAAACCGGCTGTCGTCACCCTGCTTTTCGACACGCTGTTTACCATCTTGGAGGCTTGCAGGTAAGTTGCATTTGTACTGTAAATGTGATCCATTTTTTTATAATCATTTTAAAAGCATACCGGTATGTGTAGAAATCAGACCCTATCATATATAAAAATACCTAAAATAATAGATAATAATAAAAACAACTAATAAAATATATATAATAACATATAAAATCAGTGGGGTGAGTGGCGAACTATTATTATTTGAATTTGAATTGCAGTACATGATATAGTACATTTATCGAATTCAAACACGGGAATTATCATAAGATAATACGTAGATCTAGAAGTTCCTCTTTAATTAAAAAAAATGTCTTCTGATCTGAGTACTTCTTAATTAGTGGGGGCCTCGTTAATTTGACAACCAATCCACGCACCCGATCGAATTCGGGCGATGCTCACCAGAATATGTCGAAAAAACATAACGACACAGCACATCGTGTAATTTTGGCCAGTTATTCTGCTCATATGTGACTGCGGCATTTTCTGATGGATCTGAAAATTCTTAAATTTATGGGAGATGTATGGAGGTCTTTGAATTTTATGGTACCATGAATTTTTGAATTTTAACTACGTTTAATTCGCAAAAAAAAGAAGTAAAATGCTTAACTGCTATGTAATAGAGCTCAACTAGATGCGATGTACCTAACAATCAAGTAGTTTTTAAATGTGAAGTAATTTGTACTTACTGGATGCGGTGAAAAAGCAGATGCCACATGTGTGCGGTGGAACAGCAGATGCCACATGTGTGCGGTGGAACAGCAGATGCCACATGTGGGCGGTGGAACAGCAGATGCCACATGTGTGCGGTGGAACAGCAGATGCCACATGTNTTCAAGTTCTACCATGAGCTGTACTTTATCATCTAAAGATTCAAGTTCTACCATGAGCTGTACTTTATCATCTAAAGATTCAAGTTCTACCATGAGCTGTACTTTATCATCTAAAGATTCAAGTTCTACCATGAGCTGTACTTTATCATCTAAAGATTCAAGTTCTACCATGAGCTGTACTTTATCATCTAAAGATTCAAGTTCTACCATGAGCTGTACTTTATCATCTAAAGATTCAAGTTCTACCATGAGCTGTACTTTATCATCTAAAGATTCAAGTTCTACCATGAGCTGTACTTTATCATCTAAAGATTCAAGTTCTACCATGAGCTGTACTTTATCATCTAAAGATTCAAGTTCTACCATGAGCTGTACTTTATCATCTAAAGATTCAAGTTCTACCATGAGCTGTACTTTATCATCTAAAGATTCAAGTTCTACCATGAGCTGTACTTTATCATCTAAAGATTCAAGTTCTACCATGAGCTGTACTTTATCATCTAAAGATTCAAGTTCTACCATGAGCTGTACTTTATCATCTAAAGATTCAAGTTCTACCATGAGCTGTACTTTATCATCTAAAGATTCAAGTTCTACCATGAGCTGTACTTTATCATCTAAAGATTCAAGTTCTACCATGAGCTGTACTTTATCATCTAAAGATTCAAGTTCTTCCATGAGCTGTACTTTATCATCTAAAGATTCAAGTTCTACCATGAGCTGTACTTTATCATCTAAAGATATAAATAATCTCTGCCCGTTGTGCATTGCCACTTGGTGCATCGAGCACTGCTTCCATTGCGTGAATCCTTTCACAAAACGAGGATTTTCGCCGGCCCTGTCACGTAATATTTTTCATAGAAGATGGAGGTTTTTCATTCACGGACATATTATATAACAATATTTTTCTTCGATCACCTCTAGCCTCAACTTTCACAGGACTCTACATATATTCAGAGCTGGGCAGCGCTACTTGAAAATGTAGCGGCGCTACCGCTACCGCTACATGCTCTAAATGTAGCGGGCGCTACCGCTACCGCTACACCCATCTGGAGATATTGGTGATGCTGCTTTTCAAAGAAGCGTCAACCTTCCTGCCGCATAAACTGCAGCGCAAGCAGTCACTGCATCCAACTGCAGCTGCCACTGCTTCTCTGCTACCTGAGGCAACGCTGCTGCACAGTACCAAGGTAATCTGCTCATATTACAGTTGCTATCATCATGCCATTAATAATTAATCTAAATTCTGCTATTTTCGCTTTCAGAGGCAAAAGTTTAGAATAATGACAACTACATTAACCTAATGATAACATATGTTTACTAAGTTTAGGGCGCTGAGCGAGATGAAGTTTATTATTTCGATATTTCTCTCTAGATTAACCCGATAGATTTATTTGTCAGGTTTTTCAGGCCGTAGAAGCTGTAGTGACACGTAAAGGCTCTCGACCCGGCAATAACGAAGTTAACAAGGATGAAGAATGATAACAAATATTTAACACGACCTATATTAGAAAATCCGACACAGGCCCAAGTACAGAATTGAGTTATCGTAAATAGCACGGATTAACACTAAAATAATAACTCAGACGCAGATCTAAACACAGGAATTGGACAGAGTTATGGTCAATAGATGACTGACACACACTGGTCAATCTCTGCTAAAATACCCGCCTCTACAGAAATGAATGAACTGCCTAACTTGAGTTTACCCTAACTGATATATCACCGGGTTTAGGACGGAGACACCGGACACTAAGGGCTGATTGACTTCTCCATAACTTGTTCTGCATTAGTTATTGTTAATCGACGGCCTCGCGGGGAATTTTCACTGTTCCCTTTACCACGTTTTACTGGTTTTCACTTTCAGAGCTGTTAAACAGTTAGGTACCAATTAAACCCAGTTTAGGCAAGGGCTTTATGGACTAGTTTCCAGTGCTCCTATAAGAATAAATAAGAAAATACGGCCTCGCGGGATCTTCGTGACTCCTTGGCTTAGCGTCACCTTATACTACGGCGAGAGTTGACAGAAGATTCTCTGAAGAAGGTCATGTCGTCGTCGATTCTTCAGAGTCGTCATCTGCTGTTGTAATCTCCGTAATCTTCGCTCCAGTGCAAATCGGTTTCAGCGGGTGTCTTCAGAATACTGTCCTCGGTCTTATGCTGGTCACCAAACTTGCTTGCAACGACGAGACGTACATACGTGCTGTCATCTATTTTAGAAAGCAATTGAAAAATCCTACCGCATCCATTCTGTGGCTGTCTGGCTTATGCTGCCTGGTGAATGTGAATACTCACCACCCGCGCTGACTATGTATTTGTTGTTCTTCAACTCTACACAGTGCTATAGTTGCGTTTTCGGTATTTATAAAGATAAATTTGATGGTGCCAACATGGAGATTTCCATTTCATCCGTGGTCGTTGTTGGCAGGATGAGGGAGGAAACAGTGATGCTTTGGAAGGACAACAGGTACAGAAGACAGCAGCGCTTGGAAGTAGAGCCAGCATCACATTAGCCATAAAGGACATACGGGGGTAAGTTACAAATTAATTTTTAATCCCTTTAGCTAAAAAGGCACATATTGGTTATATATTATGGTAACATGAGACACATATTGGTATTAACATAATGCAGAGACAGGAGAGCACTCTCCGCAATTCGCCATTATAATATTTTCATAATATTCTAACTAGTGTTTCACATACTGTATACAGTATACTACTACAAATTCAACCCTTTATTTTGCCATGATGTAGTAATGACTGTGACAGAGACGGCAGCGGCGATTCTAATGACGGGGAGGTTGATATCGATGAGATTGGTTTGTCTGAAGCCGAACTCAGAGCGCGGGAGGAAGCACTTGCCGAAGAAGGAGGGTACCTGAAGCCCAGCGACTTGTTGGAAGCCATCACGGCAACGCTCTGGCATGTGGTCTGCTCACCTCAACATGTGCAAGCTCTGTACAGTCTCGAAGCCATTCCTGTATTAGTCTCCCTACTGGATCATCCAAGCGAGAAGGTGAAACTTACATCAATTTTTGCTCACATTTCATGTTAATTGGTAAATGTAGTCATCTCTGGTCATCGGCCAATCATGGCAATAGTAGTGGTTCATTTTGTTTATTACTTGAACGACCTACAGCCGATTGGAACAGGTGTTACCTAACAGTAAGTTTATATCTCCAGGATTTAGGGACTTTATTCTTTCTGTGCTTCTGTTCCTAGCATTCAATTGTATATTTGACCGCCATACCCCATATATTGTGATTTCTATATGTCACCTACTTCTACATTATGGCCCCGAGTATTTCTAGGGGTTTTCTTCATCTATCTGCAGTACCTGTAGTCATTGTGATGACCGTCACATATTGTTTTCATCTATGAATTCCATGCTGAGGTTGTAGTCATAGTTATCTGAGTTTTTTTTGTTCTCGTCGTGGTTGCCGAAAAGTTGGTGTACCAAGTTTTGCTTTGTTTATGATAAAGAACAATCTTTGTGGCGGGAATATCGCAATGTTTGAATAGTTTTCGTGGGCGAAGGACTAATCACGAATAAAATTGGTATTATATTCAGGTGGTTAGTCAGGCGGCAGGGGTGCTGGCGGAGGCGTCTGTGGTACCGGAATGTTGTGAGCAGCTGGTGTCAGGTGACGGAGTGCGTAAGCTGGTGCTGCTACTTCGGCGTACAGCTCCTCATCTACTGCTCAACGTCACTAGGGCACTCAGGTGGAAGTTTTTCTATTCTCTTATATAACTCTTATATAACTCTTATATAACTAATCTCTATATAACTTTGCTTGCCTTAGTCTCTTGACAATGTGTAGTCGCTCGTAGGATAAATTTATCGTACATTACTTCAGATATTTGGCTCGCGATCGAAGTTACTAAAGCGTTCATCGCGGGTACCATGCAGATTTTATTTCAATGTAGATATTATTATATTGAATGTATGAGACAGCTGCTAGAATGCGTTCTGCACGTGCGGCATCAGCAACATACCTCGGATGCTACAGCGTGACCGGCATGATACGGATGGGAGTGGTCACATTGTGTTATCCAGCACGCAAAGCTCTGATGAGGGCCTGAGTCTCAAAGACGAGTTTAATTATGATGAACGAGCTAAGTAAATTTCCTGTATATGATACCATGGATCTCAGCAGTAGAGAAGTACATCAACACAGAAGCGTAAGGGATAAATAGCAAAACTTTCATAAAGCGCTTGTTATATAAACGCATTTTTGTTTGTTGCATTTTGATCATACTCGAGACGATCAGAGTGGGGATGATGTAAAAATTAATGAATTGATCGAAGATAGCAAACTCAATGGCTATGTAGCACTGATTACGACTGCTTGAACCAATAACACTGAAGCGGGTATTTGGTGGGACAAGTTGAACTGGTTTCAAGAATTAAGATATTACGTGGCGACTGAGTCTCGGCGTTTATTACACAGGTCCTGCGCTCTGAGTCGTGAGGCTCTAGCGGCGATGCTGGAGCAAGATGGTCTTCGTCTCCTGTGGTCGCATCTCAAGAGCGACGACACGCGTATTCAGGCGTCAGCCGCCAGTGCGATCTGCACCTGTCTGCACCAGGAGCCGGTCTGTGACTACTAAACATGCTCCGGGGCCATTAACACTATTCGATTTGTCAACGCCGAAAGAACTATAGCGAATTCTTCCCATAAAGCGAATAAAAATTAAATTTTTACGTTGTTCCTAAGTTATCATTAAACTTCTTTCCATAGTGCCTCGAAGATACTCTCATATTCCAGTCTTTCATTCGACAAACATGGCCTGACATTGAGCTAAATTTGCATTGTCAAGTCATTGTGTGCGCCGTTCGCTGCCCCGCAGTCGGGGTTGGCCGAGGAAGTGCGGAGCCTGGGCGGTGGCATAGAGCTGCTCGTGGCGCTGCTTGAGAGTCCCAGCGAGGCTGTGCTGTCGGCGGCATGCGCTGCCATTGCTCGAATTGCCGTAGACCCTCGGAACCTGGCCATCATGACGGACTATGGTGCCGTGACCTGCCTGTCCCGACTGGCTGTCAGGGTGGGTTTTAGTCTAATTAAACGTAGTTAGTTCTAAAATATAAAGACATTAAATGGCGAATTAATTTAATATAAATTAACATGATTGGTGTAATTATTATTGAACGCTCTTTAATTGTTGTCAATCACTGATTCGCAATTTGAATTGCCAGGTTCAGTTAATATTCTTATGTGTGCCCGGTATTATGTATTTACCAGGTGATAATGACACTGTAGCATCTGGTCCCTGCTCCACTTGGTAATGTTTAGTAATCCTTAAATCCCCAATTACATACGAGTAATCGCTTCATTGCATGACCATAAACTAAATAAATAACTCTAAATGTGTTGTCATTAAACTTAGTTACAATTAAAAACTGGATAATAATTCACTTAAGGAGATAGCCACTTAAGGTTAAGGCACCACTTTCATGCGTCGGCGACGTTTAAGCGGGTAACATAACCGCTGTTAAAAGAACAGCTACAAATTTACCAGTCATATTTCTCTATGGACAAGATGACTATTCCAATTGGATATTAGCAAATTATTTCATTGCATCGCAAATAATTTTTTTTTCAACCTTACAATTTTTCTGTATAAAAGCATTTTTTTGTCCGATTTTTTTGGGTTTTGTAGGAATAGTTTGTTTCGGAGACCAGCTCCATCATAAGTTAAAATTGTAGAGAATACTGGTACATTCAATTGAGAAAGGTCAAATTCACACGAAAGAAATTAAAAACTAAGCACGGAAAAAACGGTTCAATGAACATAAAAACCATTTGCTTAAAAATTTTAAGTGAATATAGACTATAAACGTTAATACAACAATTTTCCTTCAAAAATATGAAGAGATGTCAAACTTCTTTAATGAAAAGAAGCAGTAATGGAATTGAGGACTTTGAAATCGTTCTTCGCATTTCATGAATAAGATTTTCAATGCACAGGACATTTATCAGACGATCTATCAAATCAGTGCAAAATACAATAAATGGTTTTTCTATTATTATCCTCAGTAACAGTTCCAGCATGTCGTTTAGACAAGTGTTTTTTTTTTTTATTTTAGTAGACCTTAAAATCACAGGAATCCCATTTCGAATGGGAAACTAACTCTTGCTAATCGAGAAGCAACCATGCAATCAAATCAGTCTCGGTCATGCAGAAACTGGACGACGTAAGGTAAATTTTCGTATAAAGTAATATTGACAAATAAAATTTTCGTATAAAGTAATATTTTCGTAAAAAGTAATATTTACAAATTTGTAGACGCAGCTTATCACCTTAATTTTAACACCATCTACCTGAAATAAATAGGATGGGAGTCTGTACAGGACGTCCTTTCGAAGCTTTGGTAGTGAATTGGGTGAGTGGCGAACTATTATTATTTGAATTTGAATTGTCTTACATGATATAGTACATTTAGCGAATTCAAACTCGGGAATGATGATAAGCTAATATGTAGATCTAAAAACTAACCGTCTATCACGCACCCGATTGATTTCGGAGGCTGCTGACCAAAATACATGTCAGAAAACATAACAACGACACAGCACATTGTGTAATTTTGGCCAGTTCTTCTACTTATATGCCACTTAAATACGATTGGGTAATCAGATTTAATATGACGGCATCTGGATCTTTAAAATTGCAATAAAATAAAAGGCAATTTGACAATATTGAGGGACGTATATTTCCAACATAAAAACGTCCCAAAGTGTGTCATTCATGATTCTACTTCCGTAATAAACACGATCTGAATTGGCATCATAACAAACAGAAAATGATGCATTTTCTGAAGGGGCTGAAAATTCATAAACTTTTGGGAGATGTATGAAGACTTTGAATTTGATGGTACCATAAATTCGCGAACTTCACCTACGTTGCATTCGCAGAAAAAAGACGTAACACGCTTGACTGCTGGGTAATGGAGCTCTACTAGATGAGATGTACCAATCAAGTACCTTCAAAATGTGAAGTAATTTGAACATATTGTGCACGGTGAAAAAGCAGATGCTACATGTGTGCGGTGAAACAGCATATGCCACATGTGTGCGGTGAAACAGCAGATGCCACATGTGTGCGGTGGAACAGCAGATGCCACATGTGTGCGATGGAACAGCAGATGCCACATGTGTGCGGTGGAACAGCAGATGCCACATGTGTGCGGTGGAACAGCAGATGCCACATGTGTGCGGTGGAACAGCAGATGCCACATGTATGCGGTGAAATAGAAGATGCCACATGTATACGGTGAAACAGCAGATGCCACATGTGTGCGGTGAAATAGCAGATGTCACACGTGGGCTGGAACAAGCAGATTAAGCATTCCTTATTCCTTAGTATTTCTTCGGGATGTAGCCGTCCCAGGCCATGCACGATGGATAACCGCCTCTGACATGAGCAGAAGTATACGATATATTTGCGTGGTACAGCAGTAAATGATATATATATTCACGGCTGAGAAATAGTGGATACGAGTGTGAAAAGCTGTATTGGACAATGTTGTGCGATGGTTGACTAAATGCGTGCTGTAGTGGATGATGCAAACGGTCCCACAGTTACGAAGATCTACGTAACTGTGAGCCCCGTAAGATGGCACTCGACATCAGAGACACAAATGCTCTTTATTTTTGTGCAGGCGTTGCAACAGCTGGTGCAGCATCGGGAGGTGCAGGTGCGAGGTCTTGCAGCTTCGGTTCTGGCAAAGGTCTGCCGTCTGCCCGGCGCGCGTAGCGTCGTCATCAGGAGCGGCGCCGTCAGCGTAATTGTCAGTAAAGGTTGAGCTTAACTTGGCAGCTGCTGATCTAAGCAAGCTTAGCAGAACTAAATCTGGTGTAATTTCAAGTTTTTAAAACCCAGATGCAAAACATGGCGGGGGATCTGTGATGATCTGGGGTGCTATTTGACCTATTTCTTGAGAATCGGCAGACCAATGATTTCTCTTCATAGAAGAATCAACAGTCATAATATTCTAGCGACACTCACGGGTACGAGACTGTACATAAATCAGGTAGTCCAAGAAGGCACAGAGCACTGAACAAATACAACAGAATAATAATAAATGAAAAATGAAACAGAAGCCGGCAAAAATTGAGCTGAATAGCACTGATAAATGGATCACTCAGGTGGAGCTGCTAAGGCTGGAGCCGACGAGCTCGACAGGGGTGGGTGGCGGCGTGACGGCGGCGGGCGGCGTGGTGTCTGCGGCGGCCATGGTCCTTACGGCTGTCGAGGCGGCGGCCCGCGCAGTGTGGGCGCTGAGCGGCGCTGCTCAGGGCAGGGCAGAGTTATTCAGAGCCGGCGTGCTCACAACTCTGCCACAGCTGCTGCAGTACAACAGCGCAGTGTTGCAGCAAGCTGTTATTGGCTGCCTCGAGCAGTGTCTAGTCGAGGTAAATCTCTCTACAATCTCCATACTGTATCATATACTTTCGTCAGATAACCACGGTGCTATATAACCATTATAATATTTATAACCATATCACCATTATATAACCACGGCATAACCATTATAATTCCAAATTCAGGAAATCCAAATTAAATTAATTTAATCTCAAATTGCATGGGATTTGTTTTTGCAATTTCAACCCTGTTTTATCGATTTGATGTGAATAAATTTAAACTCAAGAAAATATGCATTTAAGGATAAAGTTTGATAATAAGCGTTTTTCCATACCCATTTAAGCCGGTATACCGAGAAGCGTCGGATAGATCAGGCCTGACTTCCTCCCTCGTGGGCTTCCTGCTACACTCGTCCCCTCGTCTCCAGTGCCTCGCAGCGCAGGCCCTCGCCAAGGTCAGCACTTCAAGTTCTACCATGAGCTGTACTTTATCATCTAAAGATTCAAGTTCTACCATGAGCTGTACTTTATCATCTAAAGATTCAAGTTCTACCATGAGCTGTACTTTATCATCTAAAGATTCAAGTTCTACCATGAGCTGTACTTTATCATCTAAAGATTCAAGTTCTACCATGAGCTGTACTTTATCATCTAAAGATTCAAGTTCTACCATGAGCTGTACTTTATCATCTAAAGATTCAAGTTCTACCATGAGCTGTACTTTATCATCTAAAGATTCAAGTTCTACCATGAGCTGTACTTTATCATCTAAAGATTCAAGTTCTACCATGAGCTGTACTTTATCATCTAAAGATTCAAGTTCTACCATGAGCTGTACTTTATCATCTAAAGATTCAAGTTCTACCATGAGATGAACTTTATCGTCTAATGATATAAAATTATAAATAATCTCTGCAGGGTTGTGCATTGCCACTTGGTGCTTCGAGCACTGCTTACATTGCGTGAATCGTTTCGCAAAACGAGGAGTTTCGCAGGAGATGTTACGTGATATTTTTCATAGAACATGGAGGTTTTTCATTCACGGACATATTATATAAACATTATTTTTCTTCGATCATCTCTAGTCTCAACTTACACAGAACTCTATTAAACAGCTCACGCTAGTTTCCTCGAGCCGTAGGTATATTTTGAACGCAATCATTAAAATTCAATGACCCATGTCTGAAGTTCGCCAATCGAGTACTTGAAATGTATATGAGCTCCTCAGTTCGAAATTGAGTTGAAACTCGTCACTTGGTCACTTTAGTACTCAGAGTTAATCCTAAAAACCGTGCCTTCATTTACCTTAAAAATGATTTCTTCGTTACCATTTAAAGAGATTTTTGAAAAATATATTCACTTACTTTAAAACATTAGTCTCATCTACTATTATGGATTGAAACTAGACTATTATAACTTTGCTTGCCTTAGTCTCTTGACAATGTGTGATCGGCAGGCCAGTCGCTCGTAGGATAAATTTATCGTACATTACTTCAGATATTTGGCACGCGATCGAAGTTACTAAAGCATCCATCGCGTGTTCCATGCAGATTTGATTTCAATGTAGATATTCCTATATTGAATGTATGAGATCAGCTGCTACAATGTGTTCTGCACGTGCGGCATCAGCATCATTCCTCGGATGCTACTGCTTGACCTCGGATGTAAATATTAATGAATTGA